CTGTTAAACTTAGTTTCATAATATAAGTTGCATTATCAACATTCTTCATAAAGTTCATGGCTTTAATTTAAGCTTTTGTCTTTTCAGGTGGCTGTTAATGTATTTTTGCTGCACCAGACATGGGAAATAGAAACAATGTCACTGTATTTATTCTCCTAGGTCTCTCCCACAACAAGAACATTGAAATCTTTTGCTTTGTATTATTTTTATTTTGCTATCTTGCTATTTGGCTGGGGAATGTGCTCATAATGATTTCTATCACCCACACACAGCTAATTGACCAGCCCATGTATTTCTTCCTCAATTATCTCTCGCTCTCGGACCTTTGCTATACATCCACGGTGACACCCAAGCTAATGATTGACCTACTAGCAGAAAGAAAGACGATTTCCTATAGTAACTGCATGCTGCAGCTCTTTAGCACCCATTTATTTGGAGGCATCGAGATCTTCATCCTCACGGGGATGGCCTATGACCGCTACGTGGCCATCTGCAGGCCGCTGCACTACATTGTAATCATGAGCAGGCCCAGGTGTAACTGCATCATCTCAGCCTGTTGTTCTGGGGGATTCCTGCACTCGGCCAGCCAGCTCCTCCTCACCATCTTCTTACCGTTCTGTGGTCCCAATGAGATAGACCACTACTTCTGCGATGTGTACCCTTTGCTGAAGTTGGCTTGCACGGACACACACACAGTTGGTCTCTTGGTCATTGTTAATTCGGGTCTGATTGCACTGATGACATTTGTAATTTTGATGGTGTCTTACGTCCTGATTTTGTGCACTATTAGGGTGTACCCTGCTGAGAGCCGTTCCAAGGCGCTCTCAAAGTGTGGTTGCCACATCATGGTGGTGGTGCTGTTCTTTGTGCCCGTGCTCTTCATTTACTTAAGACCAAACATAACTCTTCCTGCAGATAAAGTATTTGCTCTTTTCTATACCATCATTGCTCTGATGTTCAACCCTTTGATTTACACACTAAGAAACCTGGAAATGAAGGATGCCGTCAGGAAAATGTGTCATCAGAACTGTTTGGGAAGGAGCTAAGTACTATGTAAGCCAATTGAGAATTTCATTTTATGGCTCAGTGCTGGGTCTCAGAATTGAAATGGAATGATATGAAAACAAGGCTACATAAAGATAGGTAGGAGGAATAAGTTACAGTGCTCTGTTGCACTGTGGGATGCCCATGGTTAATTTACTGTATATTTAAAAAGAGATAGAAGAGAGGATTTTGAATGTTCCTAACTCAATGGGTGTCAAGTTTTCTTTTCATGTCTGTTCTTTCTGTATTTTCACATCGCTGCTCAGTCCTCTTAACTCTTT